AAAGGCTAGGCTAGCAGGCCGGTGTTTTTCAGCAGGTGCTTAGAAGGACAGAGGAGGGTTGAATTAGAAAACGTATTGAGTCCTAGCACTCTGGGAGGCCGAGGCGGGAGAATGCCTCAAGGTCAGGAGTTCGAAACCAGCCTAAGCAAGAGAGAGACCCCGTCTCTACTAAAAACAGAAAGAAATTAATTGGCCAACTAAAAATACATACAAAAAAAAAATTAGCCGGGCATGGTGGCACATGCCTGTAGTCCCAGCTACTCGGGAGGCTGAGGCAGGAGGATCGCTTGAGCCCAGGACAGGAGTTTGAGGTTGCTGTGAGCAGGCTGACGCCAGGCACTCACTCTAGCCTGGGCAACAAAGTGAGACTCTTGTCTCAAAAGAAAAGAAAAAAGAAAAAGAAGAAAACTTGAGAAAGGAAGTGTAGAGATAGAGGTTTACATATACATGCACACACCCCAAAAAAAAATTTTGAGGGCTTTTGTGTTTCAAGTAAAGCTTATCCTACTTTCTTCTTTTGCTGCCCTTGGATTATCTTGGCTCTGGCCATCATCTGTTTTAGCCAACGTTGTGACAGTTTAAGTCCTAGAATTTTCTATGCTTGGCTTTCTAAAGATGATTGATATTGGCTCTCAGATCTGAGCTTTCTGTAATCAGAGGGCAGATTCAGCTTCGGGGTGGGGATACTTCAGTTCTTCCTGTTTGAGCAGTGGCTCTCGAATATTAGCGCACACAGAGTAACCTAGGAAGCGTCTTCAAATGCAGATTCCTGGGCTCCACCAGGATGGATTCTTGATTTAAGGGTCCAGGGGTTGGTTTTCCCCCTTTTAAAGGGGGGTTTTGGTGCCTTTTTTTTAACAATTTAGATTAACAGTATGAACCAAAGGGTTCAAATATCTAGGGCCACATAATGAAAATTGCTGATCCAAGGTATGGAGGAAGAAGGGGCAAGATGGCGGATTGAGAGAACCTCCAGCCAGAGCATCTCTGCAAGAAAAAGAGAACTTTTAGATGAAGTGAAAAAACAGGTAGTCAAACATAGATCAGGATGAGGGTTGAACAGAAGCTGCTGAACCATTCTAGAAGATTACCAATGGAAAGAGGTTGTGGGCAGAACTGGAAGGAGAAGAGCATGTTGAGACCAGTGACGAGGTAGGTGAAGCTGGTAAGATTCCCCTCCTTGCCAACTCGGACATGTGTGGGCTTCCAGCTGCTGGACAGACCTG